AAAAAAAAAAAAGTCTTTTCCCAAACAAGCTCTACTGTGAAAACGTACCAGTTCTGAGTATAATTATACCGCATATTGTATGGTGAAAGCCATCCCATGATGTGATGATTCTTTTCCAATTCAGTTTCTATATAGCTGATTGTTTGCTGAGCTGTTCCTTGGAACAATGTGTAGACTAGGAATCCTGTAACACCAATAAATCTCTTCTCGTAATCTGCCCAGAGCTGCTGAAATTTTCAGCTATTTTTACTTCTACTATTGGAAGTAGTGAAGAAAGAAGTGGCAACAATTTCACAGTTTTTATAATATTTTGAGATAACATCGATAGAAAAGTTACAACTTAAGCTAGCGCACTCCTTATTGGTGGATTATTGAGCTACGCACGGGTTACGGTCACATGAACCCGTAGTCCACCAATGAGGAGGGCTCCAGGGCTTGTCACTCCCTATGCCATATGTGTACTGTACACAATGCCTCTACGTTTTTAATCTTTTGTTTTTAGGTCATTTTAAAAGATCCAGTAGCAAGTACTCACCACTATAATTAGTGCACCTATTGCTGATGAGATCCAAGCCGCCCACGTGGAATTCCCTACATCCAAGCACTCGGGCAGCTCGATCACGGGCCACATGGTAATCCTGAAGAGGTAGTGTAGATCACAACTCACAGAACGCACTGAAGTTTCCATTTCTGTCCCTTACTCACCTTCGATGCTCCCATTTTGGCTATCTGCACATTCAACACCATCGATGGTGTTCCCATAGGCCATATCTCACAAATGGCTGCCATATGATCGTATCTGAACAGATGGCTACTTTTACGAGATTCTGGACGATAGATGACAATCCTATGCTTTTCCTTCTACGTATTAACGATGTCCTTCGGTCCAATAAGAAAATGCCCGTAACGTAGCTCACCTTTGCCATCCAGTAATGATAATTCCGTGAAATTTCGTGAATTTCTCTTGTTGAGCCTGAAATTTATGAGATAAATAACGGTATAAATCCCCCATACCCCGGTAGACATGCCCTAATGGCTGCTAGACAGTACTGGCTGCAACGCAGTGGGATCTACTAACGGAGAAGCCCCTGCATCCATAAACCTCTTCCCAAGAACTAGTACATTCTCTTCTGTTCAACGAGGGTGACATCCAAGGGAGGAATGCGGAGTATCATCAAAAAACCTACTGCCACATCCAATGAGTCTGCTGTCATTTGAGCACTGAATGAAAGTACTGTAATACCGTATCATTCTCAAAAAACGCACAATTTTTGTATCGATCCAAGCTCTATTGTTCGTTTCATAGTGACGAATATCGATGTACTTAGCAGATGGGAAGTTCGCTCCCTTGAAAGCGGATGATGCCCAGACTACAGGGAAGTTGTTGGCGATCTGGGCAAAGGACGAGTCTGAAAAACAGTTTGATTAAATATTTCAGAAAAAGTAGTTTGGTCGTAAAATTAGTGGAACACAGATCTGATAAGACCGATAAGATAAGATGGCGAAAAAACCATTTTTAGGAATAAATGAAGCTGCCTGGTGAGCAAACAGCTGGCGAGTAGTTCCCCTTACCCCTATACAGTAACCCAGTTCAACAACATAAGCTCCACCGTTAGACAAACAAAAGATGAGAAAAAAGAAAGCTGTTTGAGGTCTTTTGGTGTGAATTTTGGAAATTTGAAAATAAATTGAAATTCAGGAAAAATTCACCTGGCATGGTAACGATATTTTCCGAGTAGTCCCAGATCACCGGTTCGATTAGGTTACCCAATTCAAGTTGAGAAATGACTCGGGTATCAAAGTCTTTGAGCATATCATGCCAAGCAAGGACTCTAAAAAAATTAAATTGAATTGAAATTATGTCGATTACCGATAAAGAGAAAAGAGCCTAAAATAAAAACTGGGAAGGGTTCAAATGTTCAGGGCTTGCTTGACATTGGAAACTACATAGAAGTACAGGATAGGATTTCTGAGCCGGAAACGATCAAATTTGCATTCGTGGTAGGACACATCGTCCTGATCCGTACACTATCCCAACTTTCTAGAGTTTTCCTTTGTAAGACCTTTCTGTTTTATCTGTCTTATACCCGCTTACGAGCTTTCTCCCCGGCTTTAATTTTAGCGACCCACGAGATTTCCTTTTACTTTTTTTTCGATTTTTTTAACTCAGAGAAGAGCAGTTGGACTTACGTTGCTCCCGATGTAAGCTGCTTCACATACTGTGATATATTCTTCAAATGATTTAGGGCAAGGAGCTGTTTACTGGAACCTGATCCATGAGATGCAATCCATTCTTGTGACTTTGTACACACTCCAAACTGAACAAATAAAACATTATGAACTTTGAAGAATAAAAAAATGGGGCCCTTCACGACCTTTTTGGGTTGATCGTAACAAGTTTGGAGAAGGAGATGCGTTGCTCTTCACTAGGTTCAGGTTCTCAGTTATTCATCAATTTTGAGAATTTTCATCGTGTGCCTTTTACACAGGGAAGAAAAGTGGACCATCGAACCTAAGGTGATGGGGAAGGTTCTAGACTTATTTGTGAGTCTGGACCCCTCCTATTGCTTCAAATTTAGTCGTATATACAGACGGATACCCATGCAAACGACCCATCCAATCGTCAATGGTTTTCGTACATAAATAAACAGAGAATACTGCAATGCTGACATAAGTACTGTAGGGCAAACTATTGAAGATTGGCTATGAAAATGTCAGCATATCTTGAAATTCCCTTACTTCGAATGCCTCATCGGCTCCAATGTGGAAGTAGTTGAGGCCGAACTCCTTGTGGACGTCTATTACCTGCTTCAGTGCATCTCTTACAATCGCTACGGCTTCTTCATCACCAAGGCAGATAACCTAGGAGATAAACAGTATTTATAATATAAGGCCTCCTCTCACAAGCTAGGATAGGAGGAGAAAACTAGGATCAGAATCTTTTTCAGAGTTGAAAGAACTTTCTTGCTTCTCACCATCGACTATTACGATTTCTCTCTGAATTATCAAATAGAGAAATAATTGGTGCTTAAGCTACCCAGAGGAAATTGTAGGGTAACAGAGCACCGGAACAAATAATTGCGGGAGACAGGGGCACGGCGCAATCTGGACCAGATCCTAGCACTTCTTACTGAACAGCTTCTACATGAATTCCTTGCACGATGCCGTTTTTCAATCATTCTCTCGCCAACTCAGAGCAGTGTGCTCAACAGGATGTTTTGTTGATTAACTTATTTACGCTGTCAAATCGTAAATGAAGAAGAATATTTTCAGACTTATCTTCTCACCTGTGGATATGCATCATTTTCACGATACTTTCTAAACTGTTCCAATTTTAGGATCCATTCCAAATGCCCGAAAGTCTGTACCAATGGGATCACATCTAGATTCAGTGCCCTGCAATGATGAGTGTAACCCTCTGCCAGGATTCTGTAAAGTCGTCCACTGCAGACTCTTACAGTATTTGATTTCGAATATGTTTGCTTTGAAGGGTGCCTACCTTGCTTTCTTCAGTATAGTCCGCACCTCATCCAATGAGTAGGCATCAGTACTTTTCGCTACTGCCAACTGCCCTGTCCACGGGAACATATCCTCCCACTCGAGGAGTACACCTAGATCAAGGTTTCTAATAGAAAAGTGCTGGACATCAAATATCCCTCTCTTGTGAAGTGCCTGTCACAGTGGATGGAATGCCACCACGTTGCCCACCTGTGGCTCCAGATCGTGCGACGATATCCAGGAGATCCAAGAAGTACGATACCCTAGGTGGGGCGCCTTTCAGGTCAAAATGAACGACAATGTTCTCGTAAAATTCATCCTGAAACAGAGATAGACCAGCTACAGTAAATGTCTGAACGATTCGAGATTTGGACGATACCTTTCTATTTCGTTGCGAAATGCCGGGAGAGCCTGGGGGTTCTGCCGCATTACCTTGAACTGTCTTGGACGTGTCACCATTAACCTAAAATAAAATCCTCGGTGTTCCCATTGAGTCGCAGGTATAGGTTTGGGCACGAGTGATCTCCTACAGCTTCAAAAAAGGCAAGCCCCAATCTAATGATAGGACAGAAGCTCAAATTTATAATCTGGTCTGGAAGCAAAGGGAGGAATGTGCCGTCACGGTCCATCACCAGCTGATGGGTCCTCCTTTTTCAGTTGGCGTTCTCCCACAAGAGAGAGAACCCATCTTCAAGTTTAACTCAAATATGTTTCATACTAAACTTCCTCTCCGTTCATTTTCCAGTTCACTCTCCTTACTGCTTAGGGCGAGACTAAGGTCAGAGTCAAGCTCATGTCGGAGAGCTGATTCGATCGTCCAGAACTGCCTTTAGAATGCGACCCTCTTCCCTATCTTACTTCCGGAGAACTCTTCAGAGAGTTTCTCAATTCAGAAAGGAGAACGAGATGCCATCAAATCTATCAAAACTGTGTCCATCACACTCTTCTCTGCCTTTCGGAGCTAATGACCCAGCTCCCTAGTCCAGATTCCTTAGCATGAGTAATTCCCTGATTAGGGAAGTAGGGGATAAGGAGTCTTTTGGATGCCCGTTTTTCTAAAAGGTTGGCGATCACAGCGTTTCTCTGGGGCGCTCTGCAGTGGAGGAGGGACAGCTTTTCATCTTCAAAAGACGGTTGACGCCGATAAAGCAGAAACAATAAATTATCGGTTGATTTTGCGGGTTCCGATTCATCTCACTGCTAAAAGTCAACCAGCTCTCAGAATCGGTCCAGAAGCGCTGGGTTACACATCCAACCTGTGACCACCATTACCGTCCTGGTAACCCTGTATCTTCCTCCAACTTCTAACGCTATCGTGGGTAATCATGAGCTTACCTGATGTGTAGGTATCTCCTTTACTGCATTGCCTATGTGAGCTATGAATGAGCTGCCGCCATGTCGTTGGGGAACGATGTTGCTTTGTTCTTCTCTCACGCCGCCGTTATCGACTGCTGGCTGTTCTGGAAACGCCCGGACCTCAGTCTGGAACAATATATTTAATATAGTATTCAGTACAGAAAGAAAAATCTTTTGTATTTTCTCAAGTAAAGTTCATTATGTCTGGATTAAAGTTAGCAGTAGGGTAGGCTGTTGTAGGGCCCCCAGTTCTCGAGGCTGCCAGAAAAAGGCTTTAAGTCAACTGGTGGCCAGCTTTCCCTGGACATCGCCATAACCTTACCCAGGAGCAACGGGTGTATGTTCGTCCTAGCTTGAACTCAGGAACGAATGAGAACGCTATTACATACTGCCCTGAGCGGGCATTCTTCTACAGTTCTTCCAGATAGTCCCGATTGGACGCAAAAGAATAACCGGAGAACTGGGTGCACCTGCTGCAGAATCTTTCCCAGGCTACCTTCCTTACAAAACTTCTTTGCAGGACCACTACTGAGGTTCGAAAGGAAGATAGTCTGGGAGAGACTCCGCAACAGGTGAGTCAAAATGCCCTGAAACAGTTGGTATCGAGAGGTACTAAGCTTCTTCGTGGTCAATGCATTGTTTGTTTACATAATGTCGAAAAGGTCCTATGTGGGGATCAACTGAGAACGGCACCAGGATGCCAACGATCCGTATGCTACCCAAGGCCAGATCCGGCCCTTTTGAACCCCAGCAGGGGTACGATGACGAGATGTTTGGTGAGCCCACGTCAACTTAAGCCCCTCGAAGCAAGACTGAAGGGCGACTCTGTGAAACGATCCATGATCAAAAGCCCAAGGGGTGTCAACAGTTGCCTCGCAACATGAATTCAATTAATTCTGGGGTGATTAATGAAATCAGAGAAAAACAAGAATTGCAGCGAACCTGTCGATCTTTATGTGAACGTCGAGGAAAGGTATTGGCGATTTGAAAAGTAATGAAGACCACGGAACAGCCAAGAAACGCTTTCCATGCAATACCTAGCCCTCTTCTCCTTAGGTACCGTATTATAGTCATGACAGCATACGGAATATCAACCCTGAAAATCAGGAAATCGAGCATTTTCTGGGAATCAAGTCCGTTTTCACGATGGGAAACGGCATGAGAATTGGAGAAATAAATTTTGCTCCGAAATGTATGGATAAAGGGCAGGTAATAAAAATATACATCAACGATGAAATATTCATAGCAGATCTTTCCCGAAAACCATTTGTTCATGATTATAGGGCCTAAGTAGAGACTGTAGCTGGATGTTGAACGATTTAGTGCGAAGTATGAAGTCAAAGTCTAACTGCTGTCAAAAAGTAAAGCAGGTATGGGAGGTACTCATAGGTGATTGCTAGGTGTGAGACAGAGCAAATTCGTACTTGTGGTAGATAACTGGGAACAATAAATTTTTGGAAAGAGAGTACTGTAGGCAACCAAAGTGAAAAAAGATGAGTCCAAGCTACAAAAGGGAACAGTGAACGATAATGGGCAATAGAAACGATAAGAAATGGATATTAGGAAGAAAAACAGGTAATGAAGGTGGCTTTTCGCAAAAACGTT